GATTCACCCTTATTCGGGAATTTTATAAATTGTTTCTTATTTGTTTTCAAAATATGATAATTATTACATCCCCGTCTCATTAACTTTCTCGGGCATATCCTTTTTCTTTCGTTCACTAAGTTTGTGTAGCTCCGAATAGTATAATGCATATGTAGTTCTAAATCATTCTTACATTAAGTCGCTACTTTTCATTTCAACATTAGCTAGATAAACTCTTTTTTAATAGCTGCACATGTCTCGATCTTAATGGGACAAATTTGATGTTACGTATCTATTTAATAGTTCACAAGGTCTATCAGATCAATCTCTAAAGGTAGATCCATTTTTTTGTCTCATATTTATTTATACTTCACAATTTATGTTCAAGTTGTTAAATGGGTTAGCACTCCCCAATTTCATAGCTTGGATCATTTAAATGCCTAATGATCTCAAAATGCACATTATTTTTAATGGGGGTGCACAATACACTTATAGCTAAAATAATTCGGACTTTGAAAGGATAGGAAAGGTTGATTTTTTACAAAAATGTCACATCATTTTTAATTTATTATAGCACAAATTTCTATTTCAAATGATGCACAATTTTCAAATCTAACATTTCTGTTCATTCTAATTCACTTTTTACACGTTAAGGTGTCTTCTCATTTGAACTCAACCTTTTATATATACTCCGTAATATATAATTTTCAAATCTAACGTTCGGGTACATATATAGAAGTAATGTTAGAGTAATTTATTTGAATAATGATTATATATAGAAATAATAGTTCAACAAGGGTTGTAAATTAATAATTATATTTGAAATTATTTGGGTAGAATTGTAGAAAAGCATCAATATTGAAGATAATAAAAGTAAAAACTAGATGTTTACATTTTGGTTGACTCGCAACCTACATGGGTCAACTCACTTAACCTGCTACCCGTGCAAGTTGCACCACGAATTGAAACCGGTGAGTTCACAGGATTGAAGAATGACAACTCTAACCCACCGTGAAATGAGATGAAAGGGGCTAGCCCTATGGACTTCGACTAATTTTGACAGCTCTATCCATAGTCGATTGAATTTTCTTTTAAACACTAATTGATGAATTCATGTACAATTTATTTTCCCGACAATTTTAATAAAAACTTTACGAACATATTTTCTCGTGCAGTGCACGGGTACACATACTAGTATACTATGTTCCTAAAATAAATTTTCTTTCTGTCCGTCTCATGAGCATTAGATTTTGGGTCCAAGACTTTTGATTTTTCACTTTTGATGGTAGATTATAGATCTTTTTTACTTGTAATCCTTACGGTTACTTTTACAGCATCCTATTTAATTCCTGCAAAAGTGACCTGAACGTTTGAGGGATTACGCAAAATCTATATATAATCACATCATCAAAAGTGAAAAAACAATGAAAAGTCAATTAAGCACTAAAGCACATTATAAGAATTACATAACTTATCGATACAAATAAAAGGACCAATTTTTCTTGTTTTATTCATAGTTTCATATTGATTATATCAGGAGGAAGTTATTCACGAGGATACTCTCGCTCGGCGAGAATGCCAACACGTGCTGCTGCGGGTATTGGTCATTTATCCACTTACAATAAGAAATTAGAATGTTTTTTATTCCCACATTTATTTCCGCTAAATTTGTAATAATAATAAGAAAAAGTAAGGTTGAAATTACTTTTTTCTGGCTGTATTGGCTGAAGTTACTGTATAGGATCATTTTAATTAGCTATTTTTTCATTAATGTTTTCTTTATTTTATCAATAAGAAATTTTTTAAATATAATTTTTTCATAAATCAGCAGAATTAGTCAATCCAGCCATTTACTTCATAAATTTAGGCCGATTTAACCAATTTCAGTGTTGCCAAACGGCCAAACGGGGTCTTAGTTATCAATTTTGATTCTAGTGTGAAATAAGAAAAGTAAAATTTATATCATTGACGTTTGGGCAAAGACAAGATAAATAAGCTGAAATACTCAGTATGATTTTTGTACGAAGTACTGTCTATGAAAAGTAGCAAAGTTTTTAGATACATGGTAATGTGAAACTCGCGAAGTCCAATGGGACGATATCAAGTACGGAGTAAATCATTACTTCCAAAACAGTGAGTACTTATAAATTCCTTAATAATTAATTGTCCATCTTTTTCCATTACAGTTAACCCTCCTCCTGCCCCTCTTTCTCCAGAGAGAAAAGAAAATAGTTGTGGCATTATGTCAAGCATAACTGAAGTAAATTGAACCAATATGATACCATATCTTTTAGTTATATATAGTTGATGGGGGAAAGTACAATTTTGCTCGTTAGTATATAATTGCATATACTTTTCCTAAACCATGCAAATTACACAGGCATGGCTTTTGTTACTGATTGCCTTTGCCCAGCGGATGGTAGATGCTGTTTTTGGCCCTCGTATTGTTAAGCACGAAAATGCTGGTACATCTGCTGCACTACAACCAACATCCAACATTGACTCACAAGTTTGCAGTGTTTGAACTAAGACTTTCCATGATGTAAGTTGACATCAAGTTCTCTACTTCATCAATACAAAATATTGTCCCAATAAAATAGTATATTGTACTTCCTCCGTTCTTTTTTAGTTGCAACAGTCAACATTTCACACTTGTCAACGCACATCGATCTTTGACCGTAATTATATCTTAATGAGATGAATTGAACAATATAATTTAAAAATAATAATTTTCATTAAATAATAATATAAAATCTAGTTAAAGTAGAACATGTGAATAGTGTAAAATTCAACATGTTGCGATTAAAAAGAGACGGATGATAGTACTATGTATTTTATACATAGGACTTGCTACATAGTATATTTTTTTTACATACAAAATATACTATCCCGCGACATAGAACCAAAAGTTTTTTTGCTACAACTTTTTTCATATTATATTTAAGTCATTAATTGGTGTATAGGTTTTTTGTATACACATGCTTAATCATTAAGATTAATTGTTTTTTGTATACACATGCTTAACCATTAAGATTAATTGTATGCGGACAACTTTGTAGCCTTGTAGGCCACACAAAGTTGTCCGCATACAGACAAATTTATCTGCGTAGACAGACAAGTGTGCCAAAGATGTATACAAAAAACGTGTACACCAAGCGTTTTTCTATATTTAAATGAGATTTACTCAAGTAGGACCAAAACGTGCAATTCCAATTTCTCAAAATAGGATCTAATGTTTAATATTTCTTAAACACTCTTAATCCGGATGAATAGTATTCCTAATTTGGAATTCCAAAATGTGTTTACTCATATTTCGAAAATTTTCCCTTCATTTTTTATTGTAGCATTGGAAAAATTAACGTTGTAACGATAAAGTTATAGATTTTTAGTTAGAAGAATAAAATAAGAATTGTGTGAAGGGTTATTTGGGAAAAATGAAACATAATTAATGTTTACTTTTGGACAGCCCAAAAGAGTAAGATGTGACTTTTATCTTGAGATAGAGGTTATATTTGGTAATGTTTTGGATTGGATTCTCCGTTCCCGTTTTCACATTTTTTGTACTTTTGATTCCTAATTCTGGCACTGTTTGTTACATACTTAGATTAAAAACACAAAATAAATTCTAATATAAACAATCATTAACAGATATTTTGTTTGATGAATTGTGAAATGCATAAATATATAATCTTTTATTTTGCTGAAGTTTGTATTGTGATGAATAATTGCAGTGCCTAAACAGCAATGGAGATGATATTAGCAAATGCCAGGTCTACATGAACATGTTGTCCCAGTGCAAACGAAACTCTATGTTGAATGCCTAAGAGCATCTTCAATACTAAAACGTCAACGGTGCATATGTGGCATGAGGGATAGTCAATCAAAAAACGATAAATAAAATATCTTTCTCATTATTTGAAGGATCTTATATTTTTTTGGTAAGTTTTTCATTACAATGTCAAGCACAATGTCTAGATGTAGACATTGTGATTGACATTACAGAGAAAAACTTACCAAAAACACATAGGACCGTGGAAAGACGGAGAGAGAAATGTCATAAAATTAATCTTTTGTGTTTATCTCTCTCATGCCACATGTGCACCGTGCACATTGTTGCATTGGAGATGCTAAACTTATTATATGTTTCACTTCCTTTATGACTTTTGAAAATTACTTTCTCTAATCAAATAAAGAGATGGAAACTTTGTTATAATATCCCAACCATTGGGTACAAATGTACAATAAATTACGGATCGGGGCATCAATTTGAAAGTTACACTTATGGTGTCGTAGAACGATAAAACGTCAGCTCGCTACACTTCTAAACAATTACGAGTATAATATTGTAGCTTTGTATTTTAATTAAAAATTCATATGTTTTCTGTTGGACCGTTATCATTTCTAAATTGACACACACACACACATAGTGCTTTATCAAAAAGCATTCTTTAAGCCAATCATGCACTAAAGTTAAGCATACTGTTTCTAGCTCTAATATGAAGTTTATTGTTTAATTTTTATATTTTTTTGGACAATTCTTTCTAATATTATTATTATGGTTATTGTAGCTAAAAATCTAACTGTCGCCCAAGATTCCCTTCAATTTTTTTTTAATACACTACGTTCATTCTTAAGTTTTTTATTGTTACATTTCATATTTTTTTGACACCTATTACATTTCATATTCACTACAAAAAAACAACGATTTCGGCACGGATTTGGCACGGAGCTTTGGCATGTATATGCCAAAATTCGTAGGGTATTTGGCACGGATTTGGCACGGATGCGTTAAATCCGTGCCAAAGTCGTTTTGTCACCAGCTATTTGGCACGGCGCTGTGCCAAAAATTAGTTACAGTCTGTGCCGAATTCGCCCAATCCGTGCCAAGTCCGTGCCTATTTCGATGTTTTTTTATAGTGATTAGACGATAATCTATTCTGATATTCCTAATTAGGTTATTTCGTTAATTAATTGCGTCCTCTACGTACGTACACGGTAAATTTATATATGAGGTGACCTAAATCAATTAAAGGATCCTACTAGTTAGTAAATGCGTGGTATATATATATATATTATTTATATTTCATATTAATAGGATGGTAGCGAATTAAGATGGTCATGAAAATTGATAGCACATTTACAATAATCGGCCCTTGAGAAAAGAAATGCACAACTTCTTCCAAGCCTCCTTGTTGGGTTGGCGTTCCTCCTCCATCCTCGCCTTAGCCTCACTCGCGGTCTCATCCTTCAATTATAACCAAACAAAGCATGCGACAGTAATTAATTTTAAGAACAATAATATTTCTTTTTGGCAGTAACAAAATAGCTTGCATTAATTCTAATTGCAAGTTCTTTTAAAAAAATTGGAGGCTATATGCAAAAGAACTGAATTGAACGCTTCTGTATATACTTTTATTTACTCATAGAAACTTCAATTTGGAGTCATTTACTTGAATTGATTTTCTATTAATAAGTTTTGATTACATCAAAACGTTTGTTACACCAGTCAAAATTAAATAAACCAGTCAATTTTAAGTTATTACAAAGCTGTCATGGGTTTAAAAAAAGAGTGAGTAAATTGTGTGTTCAATTAGGTTATAGGTAAACATGACTTATTTGCTAAATCATTAATTAAAGTCAACTCTTAGTTAATTTCTCATGTAGTTATTTTATACTCCCTTTGTCCCTGTATAAAAGCCTCCGTTCATTTTACACACAATTTAAGAAAGTGAAATTCTTTGACACTATTTTGCATTGTTTTACATTGTTTTGTTTGTAAAAAAAAAGGAACGAAAACTTTTATTTAAAGACGGATTGAAAAAGAAAGAGAGATTTTTACTCCATATTTAGGAACGAAGAGAGTATATTGTACCTGAATAAGGTTGCGTTTGGTGACACCGTCAAGTAGATGCTCAAGTATGTCCATGGTATACTCGGGGTGACCCTGAATTCCCATAATATGATCACCATACGTAAACAACTCGATACCGGTCTTGTTCGACCATGCCAAAACCTCCGCCTTGGCTGGAAGCTCATGAATCTAGCTAGTTTTCAACCCCAACATTAGCTCAACAATCATAACAACGCAGGCTAACTTTCTTAGTAATCAGTGATATACTATGTATAATAGATCTTAAATTCTTAATACTAGTCCACAAGTATCATTTGTTTTTGTAAATAAAATACAACTTACGTCCTAGTTACAGCTTTTCATCGAAAAATGACATGGTTGTTTAGACAATAACTAAATGAAGTTATTTGGATAGTGTTATTTTAAAGAGTATGTTTGCAAAAAAAAAATATTAAAAAAATGATTTTTAGCTTTTGCCTAAAAAAATATGAAAGAGTATTTTCAAGTCATAAATTAAATTCTGCTTAAATTAAACAGTTAAAAGCTAAAACCTAAAATTTGCTTTTTACTTTTTCTATTATACAAAAATCACATATTTTGCTTTTCAAAATAAATTTTTTCTTAAACACTACAAACTTTTACTTTTAAGAACTTTTTCCAAATTCACATTAATAGTGAATTATTTTACAGCTAAAGCAATTGCAAACACTCTACCCTAATGTTAGATGTCATGTTATAGATGTATTATTTTTATATTAGATCATTTAGTTGTCATTTAATTACCTAAGGGTGTGTTTGGGATGGTGTTTTGGAGGGAGGGAAAGCTAAAACCTAAAATTTGCTTTTTACTTTTTCTATTATACAAAAATCACATATTTTGCTTTTCAAAATAAATTTTTTCTTAAACACTACCAACTTTTACTTTTAAGAACTTTTTCCAAATTCACATTAATAGTGAATTTTTTTACAGCTAAAGCAATTGCAAACACTCTACCCTAATGTTAGATGTCATGTTATAGATCTATTATTTTTATATTAGATCATTTAGTTGTCATTTAATTACCTAAGGGTGTGTTTGGGATGGTGTTTTGGATGGTGTGTTTGGGATTGGTGACCCTCATTTGTGTTTGGAAGTTTAACAAATTTGAAGGAGTTGTTTTGGTGACACTAAAAAACTCCAAAATACTCAATTTTATGTTCTTCCAAAACGATAATCTAAACTCAATTTAAAATGAAAATTTTTCTCACTTTCGCTCCAACAATTTACTTTCAATTGCTCTCTTTCCCTACTCTCAAACATACTCTAAAATAAAACTGAGAACATTTCACTGCAACGTCAAAAGGAGAGAAATAAAGTTTAAATTGACGTAATAATATTTTTTTTTTCTGGGAGATAAGCACCTCATCTTGATGGAATTCGATGACGTCGAGGAAAGGCGGCATTTCGATGCAATTGAAAAGCTTTGATGGCAACAAGTGCACAGCAGTTATTCCTATGTCCCAACCCTTAGTATTACGGCCAACTTTCCCTCCGATAGCACGCCCCAATATCTGACTCGTTATGTAAACCAGAACCAAAGATATGATGTTAGGGCGTAGGGGCATGAGATATCTAACAATTACAATTATAGAAACTACTACCTCCGTTCCATTGAAAGGTTCACATAGCAAAACGGCACGGTTATTTAGGTGATAATTAAAAACGGCATAGTTTCATATTACTGTGTAAATCCACTTGTGGTGTAATGAATTTTGGTTGTGTAACTACCCACTTGGCCACTTGTAACATACTTAAAAAGATACTTTTATAGGCTTTTTAGTAATCGTTACTTTTAATGGCTGAAAAGATCTTAAAAGTAAAAGGTGGAAGTTGTTTGACAAAAAAATGATTGTTTGATTTAGTTCTGTTTGGTATAAACCAGATGCAACTCCCTGTAGCATCTCAAAAAAGATCTTTTATTTTTTGAAAAGCTCTTAATTTTTTTTATTCCAAACATACAACTAGAAGCTCTTAGAGACTTTTAAATACTCCGTATTACAAAAACTAGAAGGCAGTGAGTGACTTATGCCAGCCAAACATAGCCTTAGTGATTGAAAGGATCTTAAATGAAAAATGTAGTAACTGTTTGATAAAAAGATGATTGTTTGATTTAGGAGTAAAGGGTCAGTTTAGTCATTGAAGTTGCAAAAAAGGCGTCAAATAAGTCCTTATATAGAAGATTCTGTCCGGACGTGCCATTTGAGGTGGCTCCCGGTGGAATTTTGTGATAAATTTTTTTGAGCATCTTATTCATTAAGTCTAGTTTACTCATACCAAATTTCAGCTAAAAATTCAATCGGGAAGACATTCAAATGAATTCTTGAAGATAACAGCGCTTTTAACGGCACAGTTATCTTCAAGAATTCATTTGAATGTCTTCCCGATTGAATTTTTATCTGAAATTTGGTATGAGTAAACTAGACTTAATGAATAAGATGCTCAAAAAATTTCATCAAAAAATTCCACCGGGAGCCACCTCAAATGGCACGTCCGGACAGAATTTTCTATATAAGGACTTATTTGACCCCCTTTTTGCAACTTCGAGGACCAAACTGACCCTTATCCCTTTGATTTAGTTATATATGTTTGGTATACAAATTGTTAAGACTAATTAATGTTAGAAGCTACAAACTTCTTTCAGATGCTACTCATTGTAGCCTCTCAAAAAAGATCTTTTATTTATAAAAAAAACACTCTGTAAAATAAGCATGCCAAACATACAACTAAAATCTTTTAAAGACTTTTTAAATGGTATAAAAGTTAGAAAGCAAGGACTTATGTCTACCAAGCATTCACTACATGCTTAAACCTCATTGAGATCAGAGCTTCATAGAATTCAACTCTCATCATATTTACGATTAAGTTGATATTTTTAAATATCTCGTCATATTTGATATAGGATATAATAGCTGAACTAGCTGAAAAGATACTTTTATCAGCTTTTTAGTAATTGTTAGTTTTAGTGACAGGAAAGATTTTAAAGAAAAAAGGTGGTAGCTGTTTAATAAATAGTTGACCGTTTGATTTAGTTATGTTTGACATACAAGTTGTAAGGACTAAGGCTATGTTTGGCAGGCATAAGTCTCTAACTTCTAGCTTTTGTACTGTTCAAAAAGTCTCTAAAAGCTTCTAGTTATATGTTTGGCATGACAATTTATAAGAGCTTTTCAAAAATTAAAAGATCTTTTTTGATATGCTACATGCAGTAACATCTGAAAAAAGATCGTATTAATTAGGTCTAACAGCTTGTATACCAAACCGAACTAAATCAAACAGTCAGCTTTTTAGCAAACAGCTACCACCTTTTCTTTTTAAGATCTTTTCAGTCACTAAAAGCTAACAATTATTAAAAAGTTCACAAAAGTATCTTTTCAACTAGTTGTGCCAAACATACCCTAATTAATGCAAAAAACTAGTATGTATATAGTTTTCTCAAATCCTACTCAATGTATCATCTCAAAAAAGATATTTTATTTTTAAAAAAGTTCTTAAAAATAGTCATGACAAACATTTACCTAAAAGCTTTTATAAACTTTTTAAATATTACAAAAGTTCAAAGGCGGGGACTTGTGCATACCAAACATGTTCATAAATGTATTTTCAATCCAGCTTGAGGTACACATTTTCATACACACACCTACGCACTCATGTTTGTGAAGGGTATTTTTTTGTCTGTATACAGACATAACATATTTGAAAATACGTTATGTCTGTATACAGACAAAAAAATACCCTTCACAAACATGAGTGTGTAGGTGTGTGTATGAAAAATGTGTACCAATAGATTTTTTCTTTTATTACGGAGTATTTTCTAAATTTATCCAGTCTAATTTAATTGATTTGTTTGATTTTAATTTAAATTAGTTTGATCACTTTAAATTTGATTTATAAAACATTCGTCTCATTTGAGATGTTCTATTTTGATTTGACACAATTATTTATATACTCCAAAGTAAGATATCTTTTTAGATTAACTTCCATTGCGTCTTTTTAAAAATAAAATATTTTTTTTAGATGATACATTGTGATTGAGAAAAGTATCTTTGTATACAATGTATACAAGTGATATCTTTTTAGATTAACTTCCATTGCTACTCAATGTTCCCACTCTCAAAAGAATTGTATACAAGTGATATCTTTTTAGATTAACTTCCATTGCTCCTCAATGTTCCCACTCTCAAAAGAAAAGAATTAAAAAAACAAATATTATAATTGAGATTTGAATATAATAAAATGCAATATTTTAGATCACATATTCATTTCTAAAAAAGTAAGATAAGTAAAATAAACGGCAGTATCAAATCAAACTGAAAATATTGTGAGAGTCACGTGTTAAACGTTGTGTTGCCATGTACAATATTGATCCGTTCATCCATCCAAGAAAGAATATTTTGTTAAGGATCGCTAAATAAAGTAGATCCATGGTACACTGTTGAACAGTACGTACTTAGAAGAAAATGTTATTTTCGAAAGAATTAGAATTGCTCTTAATCAAATCTTCATGTGTAATACGGAGTATTATTTGATTAATTGTGGAATCCGGAGATCTTATATTTAGGGGTGTTTGGATCTAATTCGCTTTTGCTCCAAAGCAAAAGTTGGAGTGTTTTGGGTAAAACTAAAAAAGTGATTCTGGTGTTCTAATTTATTTACTCCTAAAATCAGTTTTTGTAGAAGTTGATGAGAGTTGCCTGTGAAAACTGATTCTGATTCTATTTATGTTTTAAAAAGAAACAAGCAGAATCACTTCCAAACATCGGAAGATATAGATTAACAATTGTTGATGTAAAAGGGAAAATAGAAGCAATGGAAGAATGGGAACCGAATGAAAAAGTGGACGCAAGGAAAAGAATAAAAGAGAAGAACTAAGCTTCTCATTCTTGCCAATATTTGTAGATTATAATTTGCTCAATAGCATCCAAAATGACAATGACATTAAAACACTCTTTCCCCATCGGGTTGGTTATATGAAAAAATAGGACCAAAAAATATTGTATTTTTAGAAAGATAAAAAAAATATGGACTTCAACCGTTCAACATTCCTATTTCAAAAAAGAAAGTGAAAGTGGTTATATTATCTTTTTTCTTTATTTGTGGTCATTGACCCATCAATCAATCATCATGTCCTTTATGTAGCATCATCCATGATCTTTTTGTTTTTTTTTTGAATGTCATCATCCATGATCTATTTTTTTTATAAAAAGTAGACGTCCTTTAAAATGTTACTCCGTATATCATCATTATAACATTAATTTCAGCTATAATTACTACACACGATCATTTGTTTAGATTAATTAAATCAGATTTATAAAAATAAAAGTTACGTATAATACTTAATGATATCTCATCAAATCAATTTCAACGATAATTACTACATACATATCACCATTAAATTAAATTAAATTAAATTTAAAAAATAAAAGTTAATCTTTGATGTTATCATGTTAACTCTACCAATAAAGGCAATAGATTTTTGTGCAATTTAGAACAGAATCCATTTTTTATTATATGAGTATTATATCAATCTTACATTTTTCTACGCCTATATGGTTATCATTTCCAACCCATCCGGCTATCTCGCCTTTCTTTGATATTTTCTAAGCTAGAAATTAAATCACCAAAGAGCCAAAGAGGTATGGTAAATTATTTGACCACAAAAATCACAAATGAGTTACAAATTTCTCTACTGTAACACTTTTCAGTGTAACACTCTCTAGAAGTATAAATGTTATACGGAGTATTAGGGACTATAAAACATTACAATAGAGCAAATGCAATATTAGCAAATATAATGGTAAGAAAGGGTAACACTTGCTCTAATGTGACACTTTTTAGTGATATAATAGTTGTGTAGAAAAAAACAGGCAAAGTCAAGATATAAACGTGTAATTGACATAATATTCTTATTGTTATGTTTTTGTTTATTTGTATTATCATTACTACGTACTATACATGGAGGATTATTATACACGGTAGTTTTCGTTAAGACTAAAATAAAGTTCATCTTTTCAAGCAAAAAATGTGTTGTTTGAACGATTGATTTATTGTCTCCTACTCTGATCTCCTAGCCTCTATTGTAAACTTCATTACACCATTAATAGGGGCAAAGAAATGTATGAACATAAAAACAACCCGAAATGGTGCCATGTCGGAAACCTTAACTGTTTGGCACTTTGAGGAAGGAATATTAATTACGTAACACACATACAAAAATACAATTAGTTGTTAACGAATAACGTGACGTTATATAATTCTCATTTTAATTTTATAAACGAAAAAAACATAAAATAAAGATCAAATACAATTAAATAATTACCTGGTGGCCAAAGCAAATGCCAAGAACTTTTTTCTTCATGGAATCCAACTTGTTGAGGAGATTCAAAAGATTGCAAATCCAGACGTCATTGGCGTGGGCGTCACAGCAGCTGCCGGTGATGACGAAGCCGTCGAAGTCTCCGATCTCTTCCTCCGCCGGGAACTCGCCGCGAGCCACCCGGAACACGGCCCACGTTTCCCCTTCCTCCGCAAGCATTTCCAAGTAGACCCCGAAATACCCACCGTACCTCTTCTTCACGTACTCTGGGTCCTCTGCACATTGAAGTACTGCAAATTTCATTCCAACTTCCATTATTATCACTACTATACGTTCCTTCCTCTCCTGGGCTATTATGTTTTGCGTCTCTCAGATGTTTCTCTATAGAATAAAGAAGGAGAAGATGAATTAATGTAGTTTCATGGCCCATAGGTTTATTGTTTATATACACATGGACTTGGAATATATGACCTCCTTAATTACTTACATGCAATATAAAGATTCCATTTTTTATTTCAGAATAAAGATACTCCCTCCCTTCCTCCCATGTAAGAGTTACTGTTTTCCTTTTTTGAGATGTCAAACATTCTCATTTCCAATTTAAGAAACAATTAACACTTTTGACAATTTAATAATTAAACATTAAAATAATAAATCGAATAAAGGGTTAATTGAGTACATCAACTTGTATGAGGTGTAATACAGAATACATTATATTGCATATGATATTTCTAAGCACACAAACTCTATATTTTTAGTGTAAATTGAGTACACCCGACAGATTAACACGTTAAGACGTCTGAGTTGGCTAACACAATGCTAATAAGTTGATTTCTTGAAGGTCGACGTCAACCCTCGACCCCTTGTCGACTTTCCCTTGGTCGACGCCAGCCCTTCACAGATCGACTTCCCTTGGTCAATGCACCCCCACAGGTCGACCTCCGAAGGTCAACTTTCGCTTTTTGGACAACTTCTTGAAGGTCGATGCCATAACCGTGGCTGGTTATTCTTTCTCACTTAGCATTCCGTCAGCCAATTCAACCATATTAACGTGTTAATCTAATGAATGTACTCAACTAACACTAAAAATCCGAGTTTTTGTGCTTATGAATGTCAAATGCAACATAATGTACTCTTTACTCCACCTCATACAAGTTGATGTACTCAATTGACTCTTACCTCATAATAAATCTATAACATCACGGTTATCACCATTAACCACATTATATTATATACATATTAAAATTATTTCTGAAAATATACATAAATTATCTTATTTAATTATTATCTAAGTAATCTTGTCGTTTTGCAATGGGGACCTTTAAACAAGACGGAGGTAGTACTTACTAATGAATTTATTTAATAATAAAAAGAAGAAATACCAATACAAACACTAATGAAGAAAGATAGTCTTAGAAATAGAAATTGTTTTATATATAGGACTTATTTAGTCCTATTAAAAGCATAAGTTGATTAAAACGTTTTCAAATAAAACATTGATTGTCATATTATAAACTTTATAATGTGTTTGTGATCAGGTGTATTGCCACGTTTCTGTCAAATTATGTTTTGTTTGTATCTATTTTTTTATGTTTATGTTTTTGCAGTGGCAGAGAGAAAGTCGTCAAACGGTTTGTCAACTTATAAGTCGTCATTCAGGTTGGGGACTTACAAGTCACCAAACCGTTAGATGACTTTCCCCAACCCGGATTAAGCCCAACAGTAGATTAATAACTACTTTTAACTCAGCATTATTTCGGTAAATACTTATTTAATTCGCATTAATTTGGGGAATCCATTAGTTGCTAACGTGACGTTATATAATTCTCATTTTAATTTTATAAACGAAAGAATCATAAAAGATTAAATACAATTAAATAATTACCTGGTGGCCAAAGCAAATGCCAAGAACTTTTTTCTACATAGAATCCAACTCGGAAAACTGTCAAATAGGTCCTCGAACTTTCATAAAAAGGTCAATTAAGTCCTTCTATAGGAGGTTATGTCCGGCCGCTGCGATTTGGGGCGGTTCCCGGTGGAATTTTTGATGAATTTTTTTTTTTTGCATCTTATTCATCAAGTCTAGTTTACTCATACCAAATTTCAGCTAAAACTTCAATCGGGAACGCATTCAAATTAATTCTTGAAGATAACTGCGCATTTTACTGCACAGTTATCTTCAAGAATTAATTTGAATGTGTTCCCGATTGAATTTTTAGCTGAAATTTGGTATGAGTAAACTAGACTTGATAAATAAGATGCTCAAAACTTTTCATCAAAAATCTCCACCGGGAACCGCCCCAAATCGCGAGGCCGGACAGAGCTTCCTATATAAGGACTTATTTGACCTTTTTATGAAAGTTCGAGGACCTATTTGACAGTTTTCTCAATCCAACTTGTTGAGGAGATTCAAAAGATTGCAAATCTAGACGTCAAAAGATTTAAAAGAATTAGAAATTGTTCAATATAGGACTTATTTAGTCCTATTAAAAGCATAAATTGAATAAAATGTTTTTGAATAGGAGGGAATGTGTCCAATTTTGAGAATAAAACATTGATTGTCCTATTTATGAACTTTATCATTATTTTTTTAGTTTTTAGGAAATGTCTTTCTTCTATTTAGAGAATTTTTTCAGGGAATAAGGACACAAATATTACCTATAGCTTTGTGAAATACAAAAATGTGACTACTTTTCTTTTTAAAAAAAATATGAATAGTCGAGTCATCTTCCGGTCAGGAAATTCCTGACCGGAGCACCGTCTGGCCTCCTCCTTTTGAGGGCCTTCCCGGTAGTATTTTTTGCTCAACATTTTTGTGTATGTTCCTCATCAAGTCTAGTTCATCCATACCAAATTTCAGCAAAAAATTCAATCGGGAAGGTCATCAAATGATTTTTGCAAGTTAACTGGTCCGGAAAATACTTATTCTGGACCAGTTAACTTCCAAATATCATTTGACGACCTTCCCGATTGAATGTTTTGCTGACATTTGGTATGGATGAACTAGGCTTGATGAGGAACATACACAAAAAATGTGAGCAAAAATTACCACCGGGAAGGCCCCCAAATAGAGGAGGCCGGACAGGGGCTCCTGTCCGGAAATTCCGGACAGGGGTTCCTGTCCGGAAATTCCGGACAGGAATATTTGTGATGAATAGTCAATTATTTAATCAATTCATCATTTTTTCATTGTAATTTATATCAAATCTTTGCATCAACCCCCCTCTCCCCACACCTGCCTAGTCACAACCGGATTCTTATTGGTAACCGCCGTGAGAAACCGCCACCTAAAAGTTGCCAGAAACTGCTACCAAAAAAGTCGACGAAATTTTTTGATGATTTTTCTTCTTCATTGTTTTCAAAATTGCCTGAAAAAGTCACCGGAATATTATATGCCGGTCACAGTGACATGTTTCACGGTAACAGTGACATCCATTAGTGACATGAAAATCTGGCAATGACATCCATAGTTACATAAAAATCTTACATTGACATAAAAATCTACAGGGAAATCATGTTTTTCAAAAAATATAACTTCGTTAGTCACATTTTTGTTCATACATAAGAGAGGCCAACTTTTTGGAAATTGACTTGAACTTAATCATATTTAAGGAAATATTCTTTTTTCAGAAGCATAGATGGTGTGTGAGTTAACTAAGGATGTTTGCTTTTGAACTGAAATTTGCTGATTTGATATGGTCTGATCTGTTTAAGTCTGGTCTTGTTTGATCTGAACTGATATGGTCTGGTCTGGTAAATTTCTGATCTTTGTGTATTTTATAACTGTCCAAGTCTGATCTAATCTGTTTAAATCTGGTCTGGACTAGGATTAAAAATAGTTCAGAAAACATCCTAAACACTATTCGACACTAGCAACTTTATACTCCGTATGTATTATTCTTAGCTAGATAGTGATGTATTAAGATTCTTAGTCTAAGAATATAATAATAAGATGTGCAAATGTGCAATCAATAAATCTGAACAAGCTATGTGATACTAGACTATTTCCTTTATTGGATATAAGTACAGGTATTGTGATTATTTCTATGTGATACTCGTTCTATTTTAGCATAATCAATTTTACAGTTATGAACAGTCTATGAAAGGACCCCGAATAAAAATGGACGTCGTGATAAATATTACTCGTACGTGAAGGATTTACATGTATTTTTGTACATGAAGCTTTGAAGTTTTACCGATCATCAGTGAATCACTATTGAAGCTTTAAGTTTAAACTTTAAAGTGCAACGACACACACTTTTTATTCACATTTAAGTAATTGTAGTGAATGTTTGCAACACAATTTTTAACGCACCACCTTATTAATGCAGATTGTTCAGCCCGATCTCTGTTACGTTTACCGTGGATTTAGTTTTATAACTTATTGATTATTGATTTGCCCATTATTAGAATCGTTATCTATACACAAAGTCTCAATGTCTCATATCTAATACATTTGTTTATTATATTCATACCACATATTGATAATCTAGTACCAATTAGTACTTGCTGGCGAGGGTGCGATTTATAAGTAAACATCTCTTGTAAACTATGAGTAAGCCCAAATCTTTCGAGAGACCGAACCTCCATTTCTCCTACCTGTTGCTCCTTGGTTAATTGGCTAGCTCTTCCTCTAAGGCGTGAATCATGTCCACTAAAAAGCCCATGCATTTTATCATCAACTTGATGAATTAATTTCAAGATATAAGTCTTACCTATTAGGATATGTTGGTCAAATATATATTTTGATTGTCCGTTCTTCCATTAAATATTATACTTTTTCTCGGGTATTCGGGTTCAAATGCCCATGGATGCGCTATTTTTTCCTGGCTTCATGTAATTGAGAAAATAATATTTTTCTCGAAACTTTTTGTTCGAATATCTCATCAAAAAGGTGTGATTCTATAATGTCTATCTAGCAAATTCCCTGCTAATCCTAGTGAACATTCAAAAATCTATCCTACATTCATGAGAAATCATCTCATCAGGCCGGCCTGACGGACTGCCCCGTCCGGCCGAGCCCGTTTGGGCACTTTCCCGGTGGAATTTTTTGATGAAATTTTTTGAGCATGTTCCTCATCAAGTCTAGTTTGTCCATACCAAATTTCAGCTCAAAATTCGATCGGGAAGGTCGTCAAATGATTTTTGCAAGTTAACTGGTCCGGAAAATACATATTCCGGACCAGTTAACTTGAAAAAATCATTTGACGACCTTCCCGATCGAATTTTGAGCTGAAATTTGGTATGGACAAACTAGACTTGATGAGGAACATGCTCAAAAAATTTCATCAAAAAATTCCACCGGGAAAGTGCCCAAACGGGCTCGGCCGGACGGGGCAGCCCGTCAGGCCGGCCTGATGAGAAGAGCTCTCCTACATTCA